GATAGAATAAAAAAGGGAGAGAATGGTCCAACATGGGAAGTGAGATACACAGCAGACCCATAGAATGGCAAATGTCCTAACAGCACTCTGGCCTCATAATCAGCCCTTAAGGCATGCGGATCTGGCTGAAATGCCCATGAGTATTTCAGGCATGGAAAGCCAAGACACTCTGGGGGAAAAAAAAAACCTAAATGAAAGATCTCCACAAGTGAGATCCCAGTGGAAAGAATGGATCATCAAAGAAGGAGGTACCTTTCTCTGAAGGGAGGAGTGAACTTCCACTTTGACCATGCCCTTGTCTAAAAATGATCAGAGTCAGTGAACCCAGGGGCCTTCCATAGCCTTGGCAGCTCATGACAAGAGTCTAGGGGGATTACTGATGCCATAAACAAGAGTGTCAATTTGTTAAGTCAACAACAGGAGTCACTGTGCACTTACTCCTCATGTAGGATCTTTGTCCTTAGTGTGCTATACATTGAGATTTAATGCTATAACTAGTACTCAAACAGTATTTTTCACTTTATATTTCTGTGTGGGAGGAAACTGTTGAAATCTTTACTTAATGTATGCTAAACTGATCTTCTGTATATAATGAGAATCGAAAAAGAATCTTGATGTGAATGGAAGGGGAGAGGGAGTGGATAAGGGGAGGGTTGCGGGTTGGAGGGACATTATGGGGGGGAAGCCATTGTAATCCATAAGCTGTACTTTGGAAATTTATATTCATTAAATAAAAGTTTAAAAAAAAGAAAAAAAACTGTTTTCTAACTGCAATTTGAAGAATATTTGAAAGGATTCATTCCAGTTTGTCCATTCTGGACAGCCCTGAGTGAACTTTGGTCATTTTAATTAAATATCATTTGCTTGATATATAATAAATACTTTTCATATAAATTTACCAACCAAATATCACTCCTTATCACATAACTTACTCTAGTTGTAATTCTCAAATATGTTCACTGTGTCCATAGAAAATGTGTAGTAATTTTCTGAGAAATGAAGTCTAGGAGATCAATCAGCTGCTAAGCAGGAGGGGGTCATAATGAACTGTCAGTTTCTCCTTTTTGAAACAGAACTCATGGAGTTATTATTATTTTCTTTTTTTTTTTTTGGTAGAGTGAAACTAGTGATAGGTAGGGAATGTGCTTTAGAAAACATGATTATAGTACAAAACATAGAATAATAATAATAGAAAATAAGGAGTGCTTGCTATCTGGCAAATAATTCACTTGCATTAGCTCATTTTCCTCCTTCTCAGCAACCTTTGAGCTGAGTAATCTTAGTATCACCAAACTAGAGGTGTAGAGATGGAGGAAACAAGTGTCAGTTACGTGTTCAGAGTTGGTGACTGGGGAAGTGAGGATCCAAACCAAAGATGTCTGATTTGCATAGCTCAGGCCCTTAACACTTACATATCAAACCCTGTGTCTTAAGAAAATTAATAAACACAATTAAATTTTGCATACACAACGATCATACAAACAAGGTATTTATCCCACTGCACAAGTCATACTCTGTGGTGATTTTCCAGGTATCATTTTCTTAGTGAGGGTCTGTGCTGACATCCAAGCAAAGACTTCAGACATCAAGTTCGATGCTGTTTGCTCACCACACTGAAGTGCTGGCTCCCGTTCCTGCCTACCTGTATCTTCTTTAGGTCTGGGCAAATATTTAACATGTGGCCCCCATTATTACACCATGCAGAACAATGTCACTGCCCTAAAGACCCTCTGTGCTCCTTCTATTCAACCCTGCCGCCTTCCTAACTTCTGCCAGCAACTTGTCCTTTCATTCTCTTCTCAATATCGTTTACTGTGCAGAAATTCTTAATTTTGATGAAGTCTAGTTTATTAACTCTGTCTCTCATGGATCATGCCTTTGGTGTTATCTCTAAAAGCTTATCACTAAGCTCAAGTCATCTAAATTCTATTATTATCCAGAGTTACTTTTCTCTTTTACATTAAGGTTTATGATTGATTTTGAGTTAATTTTTGTGGAAGTTGAAAAGTCTGTGTCCAGATTTTTTTGGCATGTAGATTTTGTTCCAATCATTATTTTAGAGATCTACCATTTCTCAATTATATTGACTTTGCTCCTTAATCAGAGATCAATGGACTGAAGTGATCTGGATCAAACTGTGCGTTCTTATTCTGTTCCATGGATCTGTATATTCTTTCACCAATACCATGCTGTCTTGATTACTGTAATTTTATAAGAAGTCTTAAAGTTGGATTGTGTTAGTTCTCTAGATTTGTTCTCCTTCAATATTGTGTTGGATATTCTGGGTATATTTCCTCTTCATATAAACCTTAGAGGGGCCCGTGTTGTGGTGCAGTGGGTTAAGCCACCACTTGTGATACTGGCTGCCTATATCAGAGCCATATCTGAGTACAGTTTTTTTTTTTTGAATTGTGTTGTTTGCCTTTTAATATGCTATGTCATTTTTTGTTGATAGCCAGGTATGATGTACCAGGTAAAAAGAAATTGGCTTAAAAAGGCCATTAGTAAAGAGGTGGTAAGGTGTTGGAGAAGGAAATGAGTGAGTCCTATAGTTAGGTGTTGGTCTTTCAATGAGCCTTTGCCTAGACACTGTGAACTTCACAGGTACTTCTTAGTGTTTTTTCTCCTACATTACACAAGATAGGATAGTTAAGTTAGGCTAGAGTTGGGTATTTCTTGTTCCCCAGGTCAATTAGTCTCTGATGAAACCCCAGCAGGATAGGGTCTTGGTAATAGCTTCTCCTGAGAGCAACCTTGGTAAGAACAGAATCTTATAGTGTATTTCAAAAATGGCTCCTTTCCAACTCTCTCTGCTAGAGCTATGAGGGGAATTTGCTCCTGTGTTCAGTATCAGGATGAACTTGAACTGCTTAAGTTAAAACTTGGAAAAGTGTAGGGTCTGTCTGATTCAGTCCCCCTGGAGTTTTAACCCTCAAATTTGTCCACTACTGAGATTCGGCAACTTATCCATCACACTACAGGGTTTCCTACTCTGGCGCTTGCTCCCACAGAGGTTTCAGCTTGTGATTTTCTGCTCTGGTAAGTTGTGAATCTCTGTATTTACATGTCATTCTCTAATTTGGGGGACAGTCATTTGCTCTGTGACTCCACTTCTCTTGTGGATCTAAAAAGAATTCTTATTTTTCAGTTTGCTCAGCATTTGGCTTGTTGTCAGGATCTAGTGGTGACTCCCAAGCTTCTACTTTTCTTAAAAAAAAAATTTTTTTTTTTTATTTGTGAGGCTGAGTCAGAAAGAGAGGGGGAGATAGAGAGAAAGGTCTTCTGTCTGCTGGTTCACTCCCCAAATGGTAAAAATGACCAGAGTCAGGCCAATCTGAAGCCTGGAGCCGGGAGCTTCTTCAGGGTCTCCCACATGGGTGCAGTGGCTCAAGGACTCAATACATCTTCTACTACTTTCCCTGGCCTTAGCAGAGAGCTGGATGGGAAGAGGAGCAGTCGGGACTAGAACTGGTGCCCACATGGAATGCTGGCCCTGCAGGTGGCGACTTTACCCACAACTCCACAGTGCCAGCCCCCATATGTATGCTCTTAGTGCTTTGTTGAAAATCATTTGACTATAAGTATGTGGGTGTATTTCTGGATTCTCTGTTCTGTTCAGTTTGGTGTGTGTCTTTTTATGCCAGTACTGTAATGTTTTGGTTACTATAGCCTTTCAGTATTTTTTGAAGTTAAGTACTACAATGTGTCTAGCTTTGTTCTTTTTGCTCAGTATTGCTTTGGTTATTTGATAGCTTGTACGGTTTCATTTCAGTGAAGAAGTACGATTGGTATTTGTATTTCCATGAAGTATTACATTGATATTTTGAAAGGGATTGTAACTTTGAAATATACACTACTGTGTCTTGTGATTAGAGAAATTTATCCACTTATAATGAAATGAATTATTCATAGGAAATGCCTACTACTGTTGTTTTTGGTTCTATAGAGTCTTTCTCCCTTTCTTTCTTTTTCACTGTCTTCTTTTGTGATTAGAATATTTTCTTGGGGCTGGCACCATGGCTCACTTGGTTAATCCTCCGCCTGCAGCGCCAGCATCCCATATGGGTGCCTGGTTCTAGCCCCAGTTTCTCCTCTTCCAGTCCAGCTCCCTGCTGTGGCCCAGGAGAGAAGTGGAGGATGGCCCAAGTGCTTGGGCTCCTGCACTGGCATAGGAGACCAAGAAGAAGTTCCTGGCTCCTGGCTTTGGATCTGCTGGCCATAGCGGTCATTTAGGGAGTGAACCAACGGAAGGAAGACCTCTCTCTCTCACTGTCTATAACTCTAACTGTCAAATAAAGGAAAAGAATATTTTATCTAGGAGTATAATTTGCACCTTTTTTATCCTATGCATATCTATGAGTTTTTGTTTTATGAATACTATGAGGCTCACATACAATATCATATAGTTACAGTAGACTGTTAAACTGATAGCAGTTTAAATTTGAGTCCTTAAAATAACTATACTTTTATTCCACATCCTTCAGCCACCATTTTATATTTTGGATGTACATATTACATCTTTTTATATAGTGTATACCTTAAGGAGTTATTATAGTTATTTTTTTTAATTTATTTCACAGGTAGAGATATAGACAGTGAGAGAGAGTGAGAGAGAGAGAGAGAGAGAGAGAAAGGTCCTCCTTCCATTGGTTCACTCCCCTAATGGCTGCTACAGCTGGCGCTGCACCGATCCAAAGCCAGGAGCCGGGTGCTTCTTGCTGGTCTCCCATGCGGGTGCAGGGCCCAAGCACTTGGGCCATCCTCCACTGCACTCCCATGCCACAGCAGAGAGCTGGACTGGAAGAGGAGTAGCCAGGACTAGAACCGGTGCCCCTAAGGGATGCCGGCACAGCAGGCAGAGAATGAACCAAGTGAGCCATGACACTGGTCCCTTATTGTACTATTTGAATAACTATCTATGCTGTAGCTGCATACATTGCCAACTGTCTCTTCATTGGGAAATTTTGTCATACTTTCAAAAGCAAAAGCAATACCAGCACTGCACAGACATACCATTTATTATAAAATGAACAATGCACAAACCTTCAGCTGTGGAGGTCTTATATTCTAGTAATCAGTAGCATCCTGACAGAATTATAAGTGAAAATATCAAGAATACATGTGAAATACACATGAAAATTATGTGAAATCTATGCAGTTATCTCCATCTCAGCAATACATAAGAAGATAATATCTGGGACAACCATATTTGCAACATTCTTCAGGCAGACTCTCAGAGAACTGTCTCTTTTTTCGGGAGAAAGTATTCGATTCTGAAGCCCTGCTACCTTCCACTCCTCTTTGTATATTCTGAATAATTTTCTTAAATTCTTCAAAACTAACATTTGACTTCTTCAATGTAGGTAGGTATTGTAGATACAGCTTTGATGGCTGCTTCTCAAATAGTGTTGCCGTCAGCTCCTGTGGCAAGTTAGGAATGGATTCCAACATAGTATTTGCATTTTCTGCATCTTTCTTGATGGATGATGGCACAGTTTCTATTAAGTTAAAGAAATTGGGGGTAGAAAGAAAAATATGAATATCAAGGAGTATCAGACAGATTGAATGTGCCTATGCAGAGAAATGGAAAGCACTGTCTCAATCTAATTGAATATTGAAACAATCAGCAAGTGTCTTAATATCTGAACCATTTATTATACTTATAGATTGAAGTACTACAATCCTAGCATTCTTCTGCTTACTCCACTTGGCTTCTGTAATCTCTCTCATCCCTTCATTGCTTTCAATATAGTACTTTTCACTGTCTGACATAGATCTGTCAACTGTCTGAAGTAATGTTGATCATCAGAAACACTCAGTTTAACCATAACTGGATTTTTTTTCAACCTGAGTAATTTTATTCCATTGCTAAGCAACTTCTGAATTCTGAGAGTAACCTTTGAAAAGAAAATTGCTTATTTAAGTTTTCAAATCATGGTGGCAAGAATCTTTTTTATATGTAAAGTTCTCTTTATTTATTTGGAAGCCAGAGTTACGGGGCGGGGCGGGGCGGGGCTGGGGCACAGAGAGATCTTCCATCCACTGGTTCATTTCCCAAATGACTACAATGGCCAGGTCTGACCCAGGCCAAAGTCAAGAGCCAGGAACCTCATCTGGGTCTCCTATGGGGGTGCAGAGGCCCAAGCCCTTAGGCCATCTTCAGCTTCTTTCCCAGCTGTGTTAGCATAGAGCTAGACTGGAAGTGGAGCAGCTGAGACTCAAACTGGTGCCCACGTGGGATGCCAGCATTGCAAGTGGTAGCTTTACCAGCTATGCCAGAATGCTGACCCCAAGGTAGAATTTCTAAAAGCTCTGATAGAATCAAAAGGGTATATGAGTCTCTGACAGCCCTCAAATGTATATGTAACAATTTCTCTCCCCAGAGTGTTTACTGAAAATCGATTTCAGTTTATATTAGAGAAATGGGTTAAATGAACACCAATCAATAGTCATAGACTTCCAGAAGAGATTAGCATTGGCTGTCACGTGTGTGTACTAATGTACTCTGTATGGTGTTTGTTCCAGTGTTGTGGATCATGCAATATGCTGGCCAGATGCAAACTTTGAAACTTGGGCTGGGATCATGGTGCAACTAGCTAACATCTTCCTTCTTCTTTATACCCATTCATTTTAGTTAAAGTTTCATGGACTGTTTCCATGTTGCTGGTACTGCCAGGGAGGAAGTAAATATATATATATATATATATATATATATATATGAAAAGAAAACATCTCCTGCTTCAAAATCTTTCTGTTGTATAAATCTCCTAACCTTACCTATCTCAATTATTTAATTTGACAGTTTTAGCCCAAGGAAATGAGAAATTCTGGTAAAGCTAAAATAGTAGTTAACAAACCTGAATCAGAGCATGCTGCTCTTCTTCATGGACAGCAAAACTGTCCTTCAGCTTGTTTAATAAGGTGCTAATTTTGAAATAATGGAAGCAAAGAAGCCAGGAGATGTAAATCTAAGTGTGAATACCCAATTGCTGCTGATCAGAGAAAACCAGGCTCCTTTATCTAGGCAGAATTGTCGAAGGATAGAAGTACTCACCTGCAGCTGGTCCAGAACTCAGAAAGGGGTTTTCTGGACTCGGAGACTCTCTTTCCAAGTGGACATGGCCACAGACTTCGATCGCGGTTCTGACAAAATCATTACGGCATATCTTAACATTCTCCATCATCCATTCATACGTGACTCTTCCGGTAACTTGGCCCTGGAGGAGACAGAATCCTAGAAGGTAGAACAAGAGGGCAGGCATCCTCGGCTGGTCTCTTCTGCTCCGGGTTTCTCTGCTGTCTTTGGCAGCCGCCTGTGCTTTCGCCGACTGAAGTGGGCCTGGGTGCTTACCCTGGGCTCCAGGATGCTGCTTCTACCTGACTCCACCAGGCTTTTATATCCCCTGGGCTACCACTGAGTTCTTGCATCACTGGTCCCAGCTCCACCTCTTACCCCACCCACCTCCACGGAATTTTCTCCCTTGGCTCAGATTCACCCTCTCCACCTTTCCTCTATTTCCCCATTCTTCTGTCCTTGCCCTTTTTGTGTTTTCTCTCTTTTCTCACCCTCAAACTATTTTGTATACCTGCGTCAGTCATCCTACGTTTGGAGACATTCCTTTATCTTAGAACAAGGTGTGGCCATTACACTAAATTACATCAACAGAACTAAAACTGACATCACCTTCTAATAACTTGGAATTTTCCAGTGTGAACATCTACCACATAACCTTCTAACTCAAGTAAGATTGTAGTTAGATTAATTATCATAATGTCTGTTAGATCAGTCCTTAAAAGTGTATTGGGTCAATGGGTAAATTGTTGACAAGAGAAAGAAAATCGATGATGTATAATCTGACTCTTGGTAAATTATTAACATTTCCAGTAGCATCATTTTAGGTTTGCACAGTAATGTCTAAAATTTATAATTTACTTTCCTCATTGAAATTTCCTCCTACTCCTCTGGGAGATAATTTGGTTATAGTCAGTTATCTGAGTATTTTAATTTGAAATTATATTTTATATCACCAGAGACCAGAGAGAAAAGGAGAGAGAGTGAGAGAACAAAAAAGGAAAGAAAGAGACGTGAAATCCCACAATCCTAGAAAGAATAGTTTTAATAATATGTTATAACACAAAATTATATATCATTTATTCTTCTGCTTCTTTTTTAAAAGGAATTTATTAATACATTAGATACTCAGGGCCACAGCAAATGCATGCTAATTACTACAACAATTTTCAAAATTTGGTAAAAAGTGGTTTTAACACCATTTAATTAAACTTCTAAAAACTTCAACACCATTTGAGATAATATGCTCACTAAACAATACTTCTAGTCGTACAGTAAATGTTTCAGTGCAATAGGTTTGTTGTAGGCATGGAGAGCAAGTTTTTCAAAGCCTCATACAATAAGTTGAATGCAACTCACAGAGGTAGCAAGCGTAGGCAACAAAGATGTACTATATCAAGCAAAATATATTCCACAAAGAGAATGGAAGCAGGCCTCTGAGAAGAGTTCAGGGCTATAAAGCCAAAAAACTGTAGGAGCCTGCCTGTGGGACGAATTTGGAGCCCGAATTTAATTTGGATTCTTAATTTATAGCCAATTTAGAGAGGGAGGAGGGTCACTGTCAGGTAACTTGTGGCAGAAGATGGGGGTGGAGAGATGTTGTCAGGGAGGCCCAAGCTGAAAGTTCTCTGATACAATGCCTCATGTCTTTTTCAAGATGAGCTTCAGCTGCTCTCTCCGTGGATGTGGCCTGGATTGGTCTTTATCTCCTGCATGCAGGCAGGTAGGACATCTGCCATTCTATGAGTCTGCTGAGTACCTCACTTCCCATGTTGGAACACTCTCCCCTTTATTTATTCTATCGGTTACTGTTAGCAGGTACTAGAGTTGTTTATGTGCTCCCTTTGACTCTTAGTCCTTTCATTATGATCAATTGTGAACTGAAATTGATCACTTGGAATAGTGAGATGGCATTGGTACATGCCACGTTGATGGGATTGAATTGGAATCCCCTGGTATGTTTCTAACTCTACCATTTGGGGCAAGTCAGCTTGAGCATGTCCCAAATTATACATCTCTTCCCTATCTTCTTCCCACTCTTATGTTTAACAGGGATCACATTTCAGTTAATTTTCAACACTTAAGAATAACTGTGTGATAATTACAGAATTAAACCAGTCATATTAAGTAGAACAGACAAAAAAAATACTAAGAGGGATAATGAATTAAGTTGTTCATTAATAGTCAGGGCTATGCTGATCAAGTCACCGTTTCTCATAGTGTCCATTTCACTTCAGGAGGTTTCCTTTTTGGTGTTCAGTCAGTTGTCACCGATCAGGGAGAACATATGGTATTTGTCCCTTTGAGACTGGCTTACTTCACTCAGCATGATGTGTTCCAGATTCCTCCATTTTGTTGCAAATGACTGGATTTCGTTGTTTCTTACTGCGGTATAGTATTCTAAAGAGTACATATCCCATAATTTCTTTATCCAGTCTAC